CCTTGTCTTCCTATGTCCTTTGACCAGGGGTGGGCAGTTATTTCAGGCGAAGGGCCACTTACCAAGTTTTGGCAAGCTGTTCACATTTCCCTCGCCGGCTCAGGAAAGCAGGAACAATCCCACAGTCCCAGGCCAGAAGCCTTTGCTAGGCAGGGACTTCTGTTTCGGGGGGGTAAAGCTGGGTGGGCCTTGCTGCTGGGTCCTACTGCTGGTTTTCCCTGGGTCCTGCTGCCCATGGCTCCTGTCATCTTTGACAGGCAGCCAGGAGCAAATAAATATTACATTTTCTAAATGTTTATGGGCCCCATGGGCCAGATAGAATGGCCCCGGGGCCATATTTTGCCCACCCCTGCCTTAGACCAACACAGCTACAACCAATATCCCCTAAATCTTCCCTGTGCTTCTAATGCTAGTTCAGCTACCTGCCCTCTCCTGTTCATCAGCAGAATTACAGTACCTGTCTGGTTGAATAAGTAACTTGCCCAAGAAGGGCATGAGGGGAAAGGGTGGGAGAGTGTTTCACACCAATACCTTTCAGATGGGTTTAATGCTATAGTAGGCAGTGTGGGAGAGCAGAGTACTGACACAGCCAGTATGGGGAGTGATCCCAGACTTGCTTATGTGACCCACATGCTTGTGTTTAATCAGTGGATTATAGGGATGTAGGTTGTAGCTGTGTTGGTCTAAGGACATACTTGCCAAACTCGCCAAAAATTTTTTTTCCAACTATTGAAGCTGGTCTAATAAAAGATATCATATTCACCCAAAGAACCTTGTCGATCAACGGATTATGGTTTTCAATCCAGCAGAAATATTCTGAACTCATTCTGAGTTTCCAGTTGAATTTTCCCCTTGACAAAGCTTCCATTCAGAAAGTGCTGCTTTTTGTTCACATTCCTTCAGTGTGGCTGATATCTTTGCTTGGCAAAGTGGCCACTTGTATATTATCACATTTTTAACAAGGATTCTTGATTAGGAGGGAACAAGGAAAACTGAATTAACGTTTGTTTTCCATTCAGGACTTGGCCATGTACATAAATGAAGTCAAGAGAGACAAAGAAACCTTAAAGAAAATAAGTGAATTTCAGAGCTCTATAGAAAACTTGGTAAGTTTGACCTATTTCTCCCTCTTTTCCTTCTTTCTATTTTAACTTTATTAATATACATTAACTTTCCATACACAGATTCACAGAAGTTTAGGGCTGGAAGGGTCCTAGTCAGATCATCGAGTCCAGCCCCCCTGCTCCATTAATAAATCTTACTTGTACCCTCTGTTTGTTATCTATGAAAGACTCATTTTGGCTTGGTCAGTCTCTTATTGCTATCTCCGGATTTATTTTCTTCACATTTCAAAAATGGCACTTACACATTTTAACATCTACTTCATCTCTGATATCATTTTTCCCATTAATTTTCCCATACTTTATATCCTTATGCCACTAATATTAGGCATCTGAGTTTTTTTTCTCAGAAAATCTCGCATCTGGCTGCTATTTTAAAATATGTTATTACACTGTAATGGTAACGGAGCAGATGAATAAACATCACTAAATCATGGGAAAGGACTAATGTATTGTGAAGTATGTCACTCCGAAAACGTAAGGACCAAATGCAATCAGATCTGATTTTTTAAAACCCTCTGAGATACCTCCTGAAGACCTGATGCAGTGAGGTGCAGTTGAGGCCAATGGTTCCTGAAAGCCCGCAGGAGCTTATGTGATGCTGTTTTACCCCAAGTCTGTTTCAGGACAGAGCTGTCTCTCTTAGATGAGTATTTGACAGCTGGGACAGCATCCTTCCTTTTCAGGAGAAACCTGAGAAAAATCAGTGGGATGTGAGCTTTTCCGGCTCATAGATTTTGATAGACCCCATTACAATAAACCCTGATCTGTACAAACAATTAAACACCATGTTCTATAACATTTGGAATTCAAATGGGAGTTTTAAGCATCTGCTTTTCCCCACTGCAGTCAGAGAGCTGGTATGACATGTGGAAGATGAAATGTTAGCAAAGCCGTCATTCCTTTCTTCAAATCAATCCCACGCACGTTCTGCTTTGTGCTTAATTTCATTTCTCCATGCTGGAAGTTGTGGATTTATTCTTATTATGCATAAGAACCTGTAAAGGGCAGCCATGCAGTAATGACAGATAATACACACAGCTGTTTGCAATATTTATATTTCTTATCAACAGTGACACTTGATTCAAGAATTTGTTTTATGTTTTAAAAAAAAAAAAAAAAAAGCACTGTGTAGGTGGAGCTATTAATACCACTCAATGCTGGGGAGCATTTTGTTTGTGAGTTTTGTAGCCTAACAAAAGCCCAGACAAGAACTTTAGACCCCAGTCTCTTCCAAATTTCTGATTTTGGAGCAGCCAGAGCCAGAAGGGGTCCAGTATTCTTGTATCACTCTTCGTAGAAAATGCTGTGAGAGAAGCTCATCTCATGAGAGTTCTTCCCTCCTGAGCTGGCATCTTGCAAGAGGGGTGGGATTGCTAGACCTTGCACACAAAACATTGCCTTGGTTGGTCATCTGAGTCCAGCAGTAACTAACCTCCTCTTAATCTGGATCCTAACACAACTGGCATAGACCCTTCTCAATGGTGCTAGTGATCCACCTGGAATTCAGCATTGCTTTAGGTGATGCTGGTTATATGAATCTATGCCGCTCAGTGCAAACTACACTGGAAGTGGCCTAGGATATCATTTTGCAAGAAAGAGCCTCCTTTTCTTACTGGGACCTGGGAATATTCACCTGTTGTGAGGAGGTTCATCAGAGCCAGCATCATTCCTACAGTGGTGTGCTTTTGTACAGTTATTTTACAGATTTGGCCCCGAATGATTTTGCTGCGTGCCTGTTTTCAGATCTCAGTCGGGCTTCAGTAGGGAAGGTCTTTCTTCTTTGTTTTCTTAGGGAAATATCTCATTTATTTTTATGAGAGGAGCGCTCTGACGTCTTTTCAGTTCAGAGCCTTTCAACGTTTCAGACCTCTCCTTGCTGTGACATCTAAGCTGGATTTTGCTCTCCACAGCAAGTGAAACTGGAAGAATTCGGGAGGCCGAAGATAGATGGTGAACTGAAAGTGCGTTCAATAGTAAACCACACGAAGCAGGACAGGTAAGTGGCTGAAGGAGGAATTAAATAGCAAAAGGGATGAGGTTACGACATGCACCAAAAAACCTGAAGTCCCCCTTCTTGGATGCACCCTGATGGACTCCAGTGTAACTGGATGGTGGTCTTACTATTGTATTTATACATTAGTTTTTTTTTATGCCACCCTTCCCAACAAAGGCTCAGGGCTGCTTACAGTAAGAGACCAAAATGACTTGTAAAAGCAAAAAGTGTTAAAAGCCTAAATATCCTATTTGCTGTTTGTGGTGCTGTTAGTTGTGAGAGCTGCCATCGGTGCGACTTTCAGCTGCTGACCTCCAGTCAGTATTGGAAACTAAGTGGCCCATGACGAGGAAGTTATAGACAAGCTGCAAAACGTAGGTCTGAAATCAGATTTGGATGGTGAATGCCACACTCCGAAGTGAGGAGGGTGCTCGCTTCATGTGTTTAAATGTAGGCCCCAGTCACATCTCTCCGGATGCCTGGAGGTAGAGCTTCCAGGTCAGATATGGAAGTACAAAATAATTGGAATTGTAGAGTCCACAGGCTTCTTGCACAGTGAAGTGCCAGGGTTATATTTTGGTACTTTAAATCTCTGGGTTTGTAGATCTAAAGCACCCTGGGGCTTTGCAAATAAAAATGTTCCATGTTCCATTTTAGGTTCAGTGCCAACATGTACAGGTTTGGAAACTGAAGTTAAGTTAACAGTGATTTAAACTGACTTTGAGTCCTGCATTGCTTGCACTCAGAGGAAAAGTGTTCCCTTTTTCTGTGGAGTAAAATGATCCGCTTGTCTATGGAGGAGATTCTCTTTGCTAGGTTGATCTAGCCAGCAGTTCAAAGAGAGGTGGTGGGCTTTTCGCTTTGCAGTGTGCTGTCTTTCCTAGGGGGTACCTGCGACTGAAATACAAAGCATCTGGCTAGTGTTCTGGATCACAGTCATTCAGGAAGCAAAGCTGAGATGTCTGTTGAATGCCTGGCTTGCATAGATAGGAGAAACCTTTAAAAGCCTTACCTTTCCTTTGAGAGCCATCTAAGCAAAAGTCAGAACTTTTCCTTAGAAGAAGAATTATTCCCCCAAAGAAATTTTCCCAAGCAAAATTTAACCTTTGATTTGGTTTTCACTGTGTTCCTCCCTTGCCACTAAAGAACTTCCATTCGAATGATCCATGGGCTAAATTTTGTATTGTAACCTGAGCTGAATGACACCAAAGGGACACTTGGCCCCACATTTCTAGACATTTTGTCCTCATTTGCTAGGGCATTATCTAGAGCTGCATTGACACACAGTGCCTTAGCATTAAATTATTATGCTGGTAGGAATGTTTAACAGCTCTGGCCAGGGGTAGCCTCCGCAGAGCCTTCTCGATGCCTTCTCGGAAAGGTGTGTATAATTAGGTGTTGGATTTGGGTTTTGTTGGCAGGTATTTATTTTTATTTGATAAAGTCGTAATCGTCTGCAAAAGAAAAGGCTACAATTATGAGCTGAAGGAAATTATTGAGCTGTTCTTCCATAAGATGACCGACGATCCGATGAACAACAAGGACATTAAAAAGGTAGGCAGAAAAAGCCCTCTTAGTCCTGCTGACTAGCTTTTCTTAACCATTCAGGCTGGGACCCTTGGGCATCCCTTTCCCCTCAGTTGCCCACAAACAGCAGACAATAAGTCTTGTTATTTTAAAGCAGCCTTCAGAGATTGAAAATGCTTGTTAATGGAGATTGAGCCTGGTCCCTTGATCCCAGAATCTGCAAACCCTCAAGAAGTTAGAATGAGTTGACTAAAACAGATGAAGTTACTCTGGCAGTAGAGAAGACACCTTTAGAGAGCACAATTTGGACAGAAGAGGAATAGATAAGCAGCCCCCAAAACAGGATAGAAGAAAAAGGGTTAGGGCATATGCATGATGGTGTGATGGGCGATAGCAAACATGGCAGCTGTTACACCATTAAATGCACCACGGTGGTGATGTTATGAGATCAGAGCTTTATCATTCTCTGGTTTTCAGACTACCTAATGGCAAATGAACCTCTGGTGACTTTTGGGAGGGCGGGGGAGAGCACAACTAAGAGCAGTTCATTGCACTGGTGGTGTCCATCACGCCATTAAAATGGGTCTGTCTTGAAAATAGTCAAAGCTCTTGGGAGCATGTGTCTGATGGGACCTTTGTAATTTCTTGGACCTGCTCCTCAGTAGATGATAGTTGAAGCTGCAGAAGCAGCACCTCATTTTTCAGCATTGCAGGTTTCTAGTGTGGGTCTGCAGCATTTCTTGCATTGGGAATGCTCTTCAGAAACTGTTCCCTCACTTGCAAATACTGTTTGGTATTTGTACACTGCTTGGTTTTGACTTGGGTCAAGGGCCTCCCAAGTAGAAAAATTAGGGGATGACAACATAGTTGAGCAACTCCATCCACCCTTGGACTTAACTAACAGGCATCATAAGCAAGAAAGTGGCCAGGAACTCATATCCCGTTTTGGAAAGAATTGGTGGCTTTGCTGCTAGGATGCTGAAGAGATACTGGTAGCATTGTGTTTTAATGAGCTATATTTCCACTTTGCTCTCCCATGCTTTCTAGTCTCATGGAAAAATGGTAAGCAAACCACAAGACCTGCTTTATTTTTTGTTAATGTTGTAATGACCCGGCTTGCATGCATATATGTCACTGCCCTTCATGGGGAAAAGGTCCTTTCTGGGTGACTGCAAATAGAGAATCTCCCTTAGCTTTAGTACCAGGGACCTGATCTTTTGGAGCCGGTTACTCTCTCCCTTCTGGTACCAAAACGTTCCAGTTGGCCTTGGTGTGCAGCATAGAGTTAACCCTCAAGTCATGTGTTGCAGTGGTCATTAGAAATTCAAAGTCCATCTTTTCACTACTCCCGCACTACTCTTTCCAGAGACCTAATTGGAGAGGTGACCAAAGAGAGGAAGGTAAAGCAGAGGCCCGAGCCCAAACCCCAAAGCTTTGTTCCCGAAGCATTC